ACACTTTTTAAACCGATGCATCGCATCGTTAACTTTTTATGCCGATGCACCGAGCGAATCGGGGAATCTTCCCATCCCTAGTGAGAATGAGTAATACTACTAGCGAACAACACTTTTAACACTTTTATTGCACTGAATTGACCTGGATAATGACAATGTTCTAAAAATGTTTTTTGTTAAATATTTAAAATATTTAAAAGAAGGGTACGCAAACGTTAAGGGAACATTGCATTTTATAAATTTGCAATCATTATATGAATGTTACATCTGAATGTTTTCTGAATGTTCCAAAACAAGTTTACACAAACGTCCAACTAAAATGTTTTAGAAATAAAATGTCCCATGAACGATGTATAAAGAATGTTTTTCTGCTAACATTTTGAGAACATTATTAAAGACCAGATAACTTTGAATGAGCGTATTAATATTACTGGAAGAATGTTTATTCAAAATTTTGAGAACATTTTTCCCTGGGAGCTGCTTTATAGCTGAATCAAATTAGTTTCATAATAGATTAATTTTGCAACATAAACATGAATTGAACCAACACTGATTGAACTGACTTGAGCTGAATAGGTACTATTGTCTTTATAGAGCTGTTTTATAGCAGAATTTAGATTTGTCTCATATTTGAATAATTTGATCACTGATTCTGTTATTTTATTTGAGTTTATTACTTCAAAGCTGGTTTGAAACAATCTGTATTGTATAAAGCACTATAGAAATAAATGTGACTTGACTGAGACTGATGCAAAACATCTGTTTGAAACACACAAACCACAAAACCATAGAAACATTTACCAATACTCTGCACGACCAGATCTTTAAAAGAGCCTAAATCACATTGCTGTGCTGGGAATGACTGAAAAACAAAAGCACTATTTTAAAAATCACACACAGGCAAGCCACTCCGAGAGAAATCCCATAACCCTTTCTGTACATGAACCCTGCTGTTCCCACACATGCATCAAACTCCCATGAGGAACAGAGCGAGCGAGAGCTTCAGGCTCCTACTAACACACATATGGAGTGTTTCTTCTGCTCGCGCACAAAGCCTGACTAATTAAACAGGAAAGCGTTTCCATGTGGGGGTGTTTTATTCATATTATATAAGACATCCAAGATTACCATTCCATAGCAGATTTCGGTCAGCTCTGCTCGGTTAAACTTTTCTTGAAATGTACTGTCAGTGTTTGCTTGTGGACCTCTCTAATTCTCCCTTATGGTTGTTAACTCAATGCAAACAGTCTGGTGTGTTCAATCAATCACACATGCACACACAAAAGTTGCAATGGCATTACATAATGTGGTCGGTTCACACATGACATCAGATGGACACATTCTGAATTACCAATCACTTCAGATTCAGACAGGATGGTGTAAAATCAACAACACATGTCTGTGATTATCTATTTGGAATGTTCAGCAGATTATTCAAACTTCAAATTCAAAGCGATTTAGAACACAAATGGCGGGAAATATTGCCCTGGAGCCGTATGGAGTCAGGTTTCCTCTTTAAGAAAAGAGCAGGTGTATCCGAGTAGTTCTTTTCAACAGATAATAGCTTAAAAGTATATATGTGTGTAGCGCATAAAGAAAGTTAGAGATGCACTATTTTTGTTACATTATCAGTTGATCTAAGAAAATT